CTTTAAACAAGGTGAACCTCTAAATTCTTTCATAAATGTAATTTTGATATGGAAAATTTTTAGAATAGTTTGAGAATCAATTTTCATCTCTAATTATAAAATTTTGAACTCTTAAAATGATTTAAATCAAGAAGATTTATGACACGTGAAAATCTTGAAAATGGATGGTCAAGATAATGTAATGCAAGATATACTATTTCGTGAACTTGAAATCTTTTTTCTTTTCATATTCATACATCTCGACGTCTAGATGATCATTTAGATGGTTTTCCAACATCCAAACAATCTTCTATAATGAAATATTGAGATGCATCTTTAAGGTTGCAACTGAATGTAAATGTTTTCCTTTTATTGAAGGGATTGTCTACAAAGAGACCATTTATCTTTGGATTCGGTTTGTATAGGCTCTATACAATCAAAGTAAAGTGCACCATCAAATAATGTTGAGAAATGTGATTTTAATACTGAAAATCTTTGTTATAGCCTTAAAATATATATTCATCTTTAATTGTAAAACTTAAAGTTTTAAAAATAGTGTAGATTGAGCAAATCTATGAAAACATAAAAATATTGAAAATTGACGGTTCAAAAATATTTTACAATATGGACTATTTCCAAAACTTGAAATTTAATTTTTTTTTCATGTCCATGTATCTTGATGTCGAGATGATCAATTTAAAGATATTTGGGCAACAAAACAACATCTTCTAGTGAACTTTTTTAAGTGAGCTCTAGTTTGATTGTTTAGAGCCTCGGCTGTATATAAACTTTTTCCTTTATTTTTTGTACATAGAAGTCACAATCATTTTCACTCATTAGATAGCAATTTGGATGGCTTGGGGTGAATTACGAAATCCGACATGTTTTTTAGAACTTTGTGTCTTAATGGCACTCTTACAATCTCCCTTTATTAAACCCTAGTCTATCTAATGGATCGACGGTGCAATTGACGCACAACTCGTTGTTCCTAAAGTGGAAAAATGAACAAACCCCCTTTTATATTATAATTTCTGAAAACTTCGAGCCTTTGTGAGTTTTGAAGGATCGTCAGTCCATCAAAAACTTGTTGAGTTTTGCAATAACCATTTAGCATTAAGAGTTACCAAAAATCTTTTAATATCTTTGCTCCTGGCAGCTGTACGGATGGAAAGACTAAAATCCTACATAATTTCTCTTAGTAACCAATATATATATATATATCCCTTTTTCAAGGGGGTACAACATCAAATACAAAATTGTTGAAAATTTTATTTTTTATTGGATTTTTATTGGAATTTTTATCAAAATAATCCAAATTTTAGATATTTAACGTTTAGCCATTTTTAGCTATTCTAAAACCATGGGCACGTTTAGCTCGTGTGAAAATATTCACATGTAAAATTCTTTCATATAGTTAGCTGTGAAAATATTTTCACACCACTTAGCTCGCAATTAGTGTGAAAAGATATACGGATCAATGGGTGTGAAAATATTCTTACACCTAATGAAAAAGTTATTTCACATGAAAATAATTTTTAGATAATATTTACGGGAAACCTTTCTATGTTCCCCGTACCACATAGAAGTTCTATCCTCCCCCTTATCCAGCCGTCGAGTTTTGAATTGA